TGTTGAGTAATATTCCATGGTGTATATGTACCACATCTTCTTGATCCAGTCATCTATTTTGGGCATTTGGGTTGTTTCCATAGCTTAGCTATTGTAAACAGTGCTGCTATAAACATAGGGGTGCAGGTGCCCTTTGGAATTAATGTTTCTGCGTCATTTGGGTAAATACCTAGGAGTGGAATTGCTGGATCATATGGAAGCTCTATGTTTAGTAGGTCCAGAAATCTCCACACAGCTCTCCATAGTGGTTGGACCAGTTTGCACTCCCACCAGCAGTGCAGGAGAGTTCCTTTTTCTCCACATCCTCGCCAACATTTGTTGTTGCTAGTTTTTTTAATATGTGCCATTCCCACTGGTGTAAGATGGTATCTCATTGTAGTTTTGATTTGCATTTCCCTGATTACAAGTGATGTTGAACATTTTTTCATATCAAACTTCTCCAGAGAGGAAATGTTCTCATACTCTTGACCCTGAAAGCTGATAAGAGTGATCTGGCAATGGGTGTGGTACAGTAGCATGCACCTGAGGAGGTTTGATCGATCCCATGCTTCTGAATCACATACAATATAATAAACCAATGTTAACTCAAAAAGAGAAATTAATAAAAATATCACAAAGATTTTTTGAAAAAAAAATTTTAAAGTTTCTTATTCAACAAACACTTAATTTGGCACCTTTCAGCCTTTCATGTTTTTACCTTTCAACCAGCAGGGCATGGTCCATTATAATTTACAAAACACATGTAATGTTTTTTTCTGAAAACTGATACTTTTCCTATATCCACACACTTCTCTTAAAAGGACCTTCCCTTAAATGTCCTTCCCTGAAGGACTTTTCTTCTTCCCTGACTCACCATTATCAATATCTAATTCCAGCCTTTTTTTTTTTAAAGATTTATTTATTTATTTATATAAGCACTGGGTACAGTCAGAAGTGCGGGAGGGTGAGAGAATTCACCAGAGCCAGAGCGGGGAATAGAACAGGCAGTTTGACGAAACATACTGCTGAGGGGAGCAGGGACTCTGCGGGCAGCTTCGCAGCTCAGCGCTAAACTGCTGCGCCACCAGGGGAGGCCTAGCCATCCCATTTTTTTTTTTAACCTCACTTCCTACCTACTCCCATATATATTATGCCCTGCAATACTGGATCCCTTGCCATTTCCCAAATATGGACATACTCTGGGTTTCTTGCCTCCCCACTTTAGTGAGTGTATTCTTCATTCCCAGAATACCCTATCCCCCACTTCTACCCGCTGAAATATGGTGTTTGAATTTTGGTAGTCTGTCAACTTTGAGAAATAAATGCAACATTGTGTGAGTGTACTTATACATTTTTCTCAGTAGTGGGCACACAGTTTTCACCAAATCCACAGAAGAGGGCCAAGATTCTCCCAAAAACTAGAAAACAGTTTTTATTTTCTCTTATCTTTTCAAACTATACTTTTATTTTTGTCACCTGTGGCCTTCTCCATATGGTTTTGCATTTATTTATTTACACTCATAAACACACACATGCTATTGCATACCGTATCTTTCTCGGCAGAATTCAATGTCCTTTGGGTTATGAATTTTTTTTTTACCAGGGTTAGCTGCACATGCCTTAGATATGATAGGTATACAGTCACTGTGTAAATACAACTTATCCTTAAAAAAAAATGAAGTTTGGGCTATGTCCCTTTCATAAGCTTAGAATGACCATCAATAATTTTATTTAATAAATCTGACAAGTGCATGGCTAGATTTTCTTGTATGTCACAAGTTTTTATCAGGTAGGCGATCGCTAAATATTCTAGTTATCCCTTTGTTTTAATTAGTGAATGTCAGAGAATTCATGGGTATTGTACAGGCTGTGGATTTTCAAGTAGGCTATAAAGTGGTTGCTCAGAAGCTGAGCATCTTCCTTCACTCAGTGTTATTTCTGGCCTGTCCAATCATTACATGTCTCCTCCTTTTTGTACTCTCGCCTTTACAAATTCAGCACAGGTCTAAATCAGTCCGGACAGTGAATTCTTACAGTCAAAAGTAATACTCATTTTTTTAGTATAGTAAAATGATACAGAGGACCAAAATTCTTAAGCTCCAAAACATTCTAGATAGTAAATTTTCTTCTAGGGAACCCAGTTTGATGCAGATATTTCCTTACCACTTTATGCTTCTCCAGAAACTCTTCAAAAATTGACCAGAAATGAAAGAACCATTTTCTTACTACATAGCCTTCTAGAAGTTGTCTGGAAATCTGAGACCATCATGGTTTAGCACCAGTAGTAATAGAAGCAGATCTTCTAACTTTTTTTCCCCAGTGAAAGAAGTGCTGATTTATCCAACTTAAATTGCTCATTAACAAACCCTAACAGATTTTTTCCCCCGCTCAGTGTTATCACTATTATATTTTTTATTTTTTTAATCTCTAATTTTTATTTATTTATTTTACATCATTATTCATTTTTAAACAATATTTGCTTCCCCCCACCCCCTCAGGTGTAGTCCCCTTAGAGTTTACTTCCCTAATGCACCCATGCACCATCACCTCAGTCCCCTATGCGCCTCCCTCCTTCCCTCTGGTCCCTCTCCCTCCTCCTCCCCTGCAGGATGTCTCTGATTTATAATTGTCTGTTTTGCTTTGTTGTGTTTTGTACTGTTATTATTTTTTTTACACTGATGTCTTACTTGGTATGCTCAGTGAAATAAGCCTGAAGGAAAAAGAAAAATACCGGATGGTTTCACTTACAGCAGGAATATAGGGAAACCAAATATCACTATTATATTTGTGACAGATTTTACCATTCATCTAAACTTAAAATCACAGATCAATACAAATCATTTTATTTTAGTAGACTAAAATCTAACCTCGTATTTTCTACACTCAATTTTAAAGAACATGTAGTCATATTAGCAAATTAGAGTTTTGAGCAAATTCTTCCTGGAAGTGATTTAAAGTCACATGAAGCTTTTGAGTTGCTTTATGATACATGTTTTCTATTTAAAAGCAAGAACACTTATTGATGTCCTTTTAAAATATGTAGTATTGAGGTCCTTCATACTTTTATGATTTAACATTTTGGCAAAATGTTTGTTTACTCATTACAGTTACATACTCTTTTGTGATGGATCTGTTTTCACTTATGCAGTGTTATTCTTCATATCTTCAAGTATAATGATAGCTATGTTAACATTTCATCTGACAGACTTGTTTTAGCAGCCGATTTACTTAATTTCATGATTTAAAGTTAGAAATAGAATAAATTGTATTATATTGTCTTATGAATTAATTTAATATCTATTTAATTTTTTTCCCTGTAATTCCAAGCTATCATTTTTCTCAGTAATACATTTCATTAACACTTAGGGAAGAAGAATCAGTAACTTGGGGAAGTAGTATGAAGCAAAATTACAGATATTAATTCCCAAGTTGTATAAAAGAAAATTAGATTTAATGTTGGTATAATTGAGTCTGAATGTTCTGTGTATAAAGTATTTGACCATAAAAAGTTACGAATCTGATAGATAAAAAAGACTTTACTATGGCTAGTGCCACCCATATTTTCTGTTGCAATTTGGAGGATGCAGTAAAAATAAAATTTAAGGCATCACTAATTTCCATAGCCAATGTTAACTGTAAATAAATTACATTTTAAAGCATTGCATTAAATATTTTTATAACTGCTTATAATAACTTGTTGACTTGATCATATGGTAAAAATGAAAATAATAAGGGCCTCCCCGGTGGCGCAGCGGTTGAGCGCTGGGTTGCAAAGCTGCCGGCGACCTCTGCGGCGCCGGTTCGATCCCTGGCTGCTCCCCGGCCACCGGAGGAGGGTCCCACATGGCGCGCAGACCTCTCCTGCCGCCCGCTGCTCCCCTCAGCAGTGTACTTCGGTCTTTCTGCCTGCTCTGCTCCCCGCTCTGGCTCTGGTGAATTCTCTCACCCTCCCGCGCTTCTGACTGTACCCAGTGCATGTATAAACAAAACGAACGAACAAACAAACAAATAAAAAAAAAAAAGTTTCTAAATTAAAAAAAAAAAAAAATGAAAATAATAAAATTGATTTTCTCTGTACATTACATAATGTGATTTTTAAAATTTAACTTTAATTAATATTGTTATTATAAGTCAGTAACCAAACACAGGGCGCTCAGGGCCTGTTTTCAAAATATTCACTATATAATGCCAGAAACTGAGAAATAGATACCTTTAAATATGAGGTTTAAAAAATGCATCTCATTTATTACTGGTATATGCTACTTAATTAAGGTGCTATGCTTACAAATAATATGTTGAGGTCACATGGAAAAAAATTGTTTCTGGTTGTCCTTTTTCTTTGTTGGCTCTGAATTATTTTCTCTTCTTTATCCATTTCTGCTGTCATTTCCAATAGCTCTGCCTCACCACCATATCTTAAACATAATGTAGGGGCCATGATTGTATCTTAATGTTTGTTCATCCTAATGACCCTCCACTTTCAGATTTTAATATAGGGTTAAGAGGGATGGATAGATTTAGATTAGCAGATTTTGACCATTAATGAAGGTGTCTTTGCACATTTGTATTAAAATATTAATGCATATTAATCACAAAATTTGCAGTATAATTATTTTCATGACGGAACAGAACAAATATTAAATACTGTTTAAGAAAAAGACTGTTTAGAATGAAAGTGGTTTCTGTCCCACATCTTGAACGATGAAAAGTCAAGATTGTTTTCTTGTTACTAGAAAACTTCATTGGGATTCCTGTTCCTCAGGTCTCCATTGTGATTATAATTGCAGAATGTTTCAAACAGGTTTATTTTTGTGATTGGGCTTATTATTAGTGTGCATATTTTTACTTTATTCTCTGGGGGACTGGGGATGGGGGAAGGTGGGGAGAGTACACATTTAGTTAGAGCTATTCATTAGCCACCATTGAAGAAACTGAACTCTTAAAAATCAATCAACAATTCTCTGGTGAGCCTTTATTACTATCTTGTCTTGAGCCCTTTTTTTAATGACATCTATTATCAGATTGAAATGGCGATTGAGACGCTGCAAAAGTCTGACGGTCTGTCCACTCACAGAAGCTCTCTTCTCAACAGCCATGTAAGTTGCCTCTTCTTCGTGTAAACTAATCTCTTGCTTGTTCTGCATGTGTTGCTTGCTTCTAATGCTTGTTTTATTTACTTATTTATTTTGCTTCTTAACCTACTTTTCTCAGCCCCTTATGATCTCTGTGTCACTTAATGGATATTTACAGTGGGATATCTAAAATAGAGAGCCCCCAATATATTGCTTTACTAGATTTTTGTACTGTTTTAGAACATACATAACATTTCCAAGTTAATAACAATCTGCCACTTATTTGTAAAAGCAGTTGATGGGGCTTTTGAGTATTTAAAATTTTTCTGGTTTGATATTTATTTACACTGAAACAAATGCTGTTGTTTGCATCTCTCGTAGACAGAGAAACAGTTGTGTCTACTGTCTCACCAGTGATATTCTTTAAGTGTAAAAAAAAAAAGATTATTTTTTATGCAAAATTCACTATTAAATTGTTTGAAAATGATTTGTTTACCAATAAGATAAGATGGACAGAAATAGATATCTAGATGGATTCAGGTACTAATCTAGAGAGAAATGAAGTGGCCACAAGAAATGAGAGTGTGAACAAGCAATTACTAATCATTGAGGTAAAACTGGATATCGTTGTTATTATTTCTTAAAGCTTTTTCAACTATTACCAGATGCAGTATCAGTATAACACTAGTAAGTGTAACAAGAAGTGATAACAGTTTTGTGAAATGATAAATTGGGCCCAATGAAAATGCTGATTCAAAATTATCTTAACTAACATAATTCTGAGTTATAGGAAAAATTAAATAGATCCATGACCAAAACCTGTTTAGGTAGGTGTGCTGCTCAATTAATATTAGTGACTGTGTAGTATGAATTAGAGTTTTCCCTCCCAACTGACGATATAGTCTTAAATTTCAGATAAAATTATTATGATTTCTTAATTCTGCTGCATACTTGGTAACTGCAAAGTTCAAAGTTGGACCACCGAAATGAAGTATCATTATCTGTTCAATAAACCTAAAACCTGTAGTTCATCAAAAATATATTCATTATGCTTTTTAAAATTTTTAAACATTTATTTTTATATTCCAACATAAGACTAAATACTTCCTTATGTGCTTGTACATTTGTCTTTACTTGTTATTTTGTCTTGTTTCTTTTTTAAGAAGTATCATAACAAATTAAAACAAGTTAGCCAGGTTGGGGAATGCCTATGATTTTGGGGAAAATCATATGCAAATTTTAAATAACATATTTTGACTCTTCTCTTAGAAACAGGTTAAGGAATATAACTTTTTCTCCTCTTGAAAATTCATATGTAATACGTCATTCTTATGTTCTTAATGTTAATTATGTTTCATAAATATATTGTTGCTGTGTTAGCATGAGTCTGTTGTGTATAAAGATGGATTTACTGTATATATTAAGGTGGATGTTTGGGGGGAGGGGGTGATAAGGTGTTTGTGTTTTGAAAATGTTTTTCACTTTTCATGAAAAATGAGCAAGGACAAAAAGAACCCTCAAAGTTTTCTCATTATCTTTTTTGAACTTTCAGACTTTTAAGAAGTTTATGTTTTGATATTCAATTCACATTTTCTTTTCTTTTTAAAAAAAAAAATATTTATTTACGCATACAAGAGCTGGAGTACTGGCCAGAGATGCAGGGGGTGAGAGGATTCTCCAGAGACAGAGTGGGGAGCAGAACAGGCAGACTGACTGAAATACACTGCTGAGGGGAGCAGTGGGTGAGGCAGGAGAGGACTGCTGTGCCATGTGGGTTACTCCCTGGCCGGCCAGGAATCGAACTCATGCTACAGAGGCTTCGAATTGCTTCATAGGTGCTGTGCTTAACCCCTTGTGCCACCAGGGAGGCCCCTCACATTTTGTTTTCAGTTGAGGTACATGGTTTAGTAAAATCTGTGATATGTTTAATTTTAACTTGTAGTACCCATTTAAATTCGTATTTTCATGAATATTTTTTATGTTTTATTTTTAGTTGATTTATTTGAAATATTTCAAATATGTTGGGATTTTTAAAAATTATTTTTCCCCTGTAGGAGTCCTGAAATAACATTTAATGTTAAGGAACATGTGAATTAAGCTAAATCAGTAACAGATAAATGTTACTCATGGTTTCATCTTTGTTTAATTGTATAATATGGCAAGTAATTCCTACTGTTTACTACTGCCAGAGTATTTCAGTTTCTAGAAAGAGTGGATTTAAATGCTGTAGATGCAGTGATAATCTTCCTCTAGGTACCCAGATTTGTTTTTATTATACTTTTTGAGTTAATGTTTGATTCATTTAAAAGCATATAATAACTAGTAATGGTTCTGTATGTAGTGTTTAAACAATAAAGAAAGATGAGTGTCTCTGCTCACCAGTCAGAAGATTTCATTTTTCCCTGAATGCATAAGAAAATCCTGTTTTCTTTTTGTCCTTTAAAAGTTCGGGCTATTCCTAATTCTTGTTAGATTTATCCAGTCAACTAGAATATGCTATTGCAGTCTAGTTGAAAAACACCTGCTAAGAGTATTTTAAATTTTGTTAGCCTAATTAGAGATACTCATTTGGGTAGGAAAATTTTAGTAGAGAAGCTTTTTAAAAAAGATTGTTAATAATTTCAGTGTTAATAAGCTGTAAGTTACCTTTGTCCCTTGGTATATAGGATAAGATATAGAATTATTTGAAGTTTGAAGAATCATTTGAAATGGACATGAATTCAAATTTATCATGATAATTTCCTGTTACTGGTTTTTACAAAGGATTGATTTCTCGGGTAAATAAGATAATTTATCCATAATATGGGTTTCCTATTTACTAGTTTTCTAAAGAGGAATTTTAATCATGATTTTTATACAAAGTCTGTTTTCATTCATTTTGGGATATGGTATAAAACACTTCCTGTTTTATCTTTATACAGTTGATTATTCAGTCATTCAGAAAACTAGCATCAAATCAAATGTGTAGTCCCTTCTCAGTGGAATCCAATTTGATTGATATTTTTTCAAAGCTTTCTGCACATTAGATGGAGTGGAGTTTTAAGTTTGTATGCCTTTTAAAGTATGTTATTTTAAGTATATTATTAAGAGTACATGGAATTGCTGCTCTTTTTTAAATCATTCTATTATAACCCAGGTTCAAATGCATATACATCATTGACTTGGCTATTTATGTCTTATGTAGTGCCCCATCTGTGACTGAGTACATTTTTCCATGTTTCGGTCTGTTGACAATATTAACACAATGATTTTTTTTTTTTTCAGTAATAGCAGCTCATAGACAGACAGTAAATATTTATAAAGAAGTGTAAGTTCCAAGAGAGCAAGGATTTATTTTTTGTCCACCAGACCAACACTGTTTTCTAGAACGGTGCCTGGTACTTAGTAACTGCTACTAAATTTTTGCTAAATTAATGAACATAAGAAACAAGTAATAGAACGGAACAAACCTTCAGCATTCTAAGTACCCTTGCCAATGTGTATGTTTATTTGGGATCTCATCAATGCATTCTTTCATTATTAAGCATGTTTCAAATTTTCAGCTTGTCAACATTGTTGCTAGAATGTGTTCTTTTCCCTGAATACTATTTTAGTGAAATAATACATGATTGCCCTATCATTTCTCCATGAGAATACCTCAGTTTAAATGTAGATTTTTTGGGGGGCCTCCCTAGTGGTGCAGCAGGTTGAGCACAGCGCTGTGAAGCTGTCCACAACCTCTGCAGCACAGGTTCAATTCCCAGCTGGCCAGGGAGATACCCACATGGCACGGCAGACCTCTCCTATCTTGCCCGCTGATTCCCTCAGCAGTGCTTTCGTCCATCTGCCTATTCTGCTCCCTGCTCTTTCTCTGGTGAATCCTCTCATCCTCCTGTGCCTCTTGCCTGTACCCTAGCTCTTGTATAAATAAAATAAGTCTTTAAAAAAATGCCGTCTATTTAAAAAAAATAAATGTAGAGTTTTCTTTTAATCTCCAAGCTTTTTAAAAAATCTCCAAATTACAAAAAAATTATAGCCAAGGAAAATGTCATTCATCTGCTTATATTTTAGAGTGAACTTCTTATTTAGCTTTTTGGAATTCAGTCTATTAATAGTTTTACTTAAATATTTTTATTTCTAAATTTTTTGTCTGTGAAGATGCTAAGGATAAATGCTGTATAGTTAGCCTAAATCAAATAAGAATATCTTAATTCTCTTCATTGCAGACTTGTTTATTTTATACTCCTTTTCTGTTGTGATTCATATAAATTGGCTTCTAATAGTTACATTGTATCCAGTTTGGGATATTTTAGATTGTAAATTTGAATGCTGAAGTGTCTTTTAATTGTTCCCAGTTTTCACATAATGTTCTTCAGCTTGTGCATTTTTTAAAAATTCCATTTAAACTATGTGAAAAGCTGTAGTCCCTTAATGTTATATGCCTTTCACAATCTAGCAAATTATTGTTTCACGACTTTTGCTGGTTTTAGCACTTAAAATATATTCAGCTTAGAGGAAAACTTTTATACTCAACCTTGCTTTTGCTGTATTGTAAATATATATTGTGCAGAAATGAGAGCTGTCAAAATGCATATTATTAGGGCATTGAACTTAAAATGAGTCTTAATGAAAAATAATCCATCTGGGGGGAAAAATGCCAAATGTTGCAATAAATGTTAATTGGGAATTGTATTTTTTTTAATTTGTCAACCAGTATTTCCCTTTGGGGAAAATTGGAACTGTTCATCTTCTTTAATCTATCCTGATTAATATAGATTAAATGCAAATGTTGAAAGATACAATTTTCTTGGTTTCTATCCTTAGATGAATTTATGTTCTTTCATTAATAGAATAATCAGGTTTTAAAGATAAATCAGGTTAAATGTTTCTATGGTATTTTATGGACTTTTAAGATCATAATTTTATATAAGCAAATAGTTTATGAAACCTTTTTTGAAAGAGTAAAAGAAAGTTTGTTCTAAATTACTAAATGTTAACTTATTGAATTCTATTCAAATATACTTTATTAAAGGCAAAACTGAAGAAAAAGTTCATCTTATATGAAGCATTAACATCTCTCAGCACATGGAGTATAAGCCTTTAGGTTACACTTAATCACCAACTCTTACAATATAATTAATCCTTTCTTATACTATGTTTTAGACTCAAATGTCTGATTTAAAATTTCATCACTGCGTTAAAACTTGATGGTTAAAAGTGACATATAGAATGCAGATTAAAATGCCCAGCTAAATCTCAATATCATACCTGGTAGATCCTAAATCAATTTCCATTTGTGCTGTAAATTTCTAGGAGCATTGCTCTAGTTGGTACAGACATTGGCAAGCTTCCTAGCTGGAACAGTCGTGGCACTGGCCCAGCTACCTCCATCCTCAGGGATTTTTACTCCGCTTAACCTCCTCCTGCTCTTTCAAAGGATCTCCAGGTTTCTGGCAAGGAGTAAAAGTTCCTTATCCTGCAGACAATGGGCAAGGAACAAAATGTAGCTTTGCTATTCTCAAAATTATAGTCACTAGGAAACCCCCTCTTATGGAATTTTTCAAACCAGCTAGCGATTATTATATATGTTTGTGTGTGTGTGAAGCTCTAAATGTAAACATATACACATATGTACACATATGTATACAAATACACTCCTTTTTAAAAACTGGTCTAAAAATGAAGAAAAATCTTTAAGAACATAAAGCTATGTAAAAGACCAATCATTTTGCAGAACAGTCAGTGCAGATTATTTGACTTGTTTATCCGTTTCAGAGGACCACATAGCCAATCAAATAAAAGTTTCATTTTCTCTAAGTTATTCATTTGGGGCTTGAATAATATCATTTAGGCTTCTGAGTATTTAAAGTTATCTTTTTATGTAATTATCTTGCTATTTCTCTGAAAAGTTTTCTTTGATTAAGACTGGCCCGATTAACTCTTTTATACATGTAAGATAACTTTGGACTTTGATATATTTATATCAATCCCTAATATTTGCACAAATTTTCACTTTTATAAAAGGCAGTTGATGATAGTACCGTTCAAATATTTTATTATTGGATTTACCTTTTCAGATTCTTTTATAATTTTTTTTATCTGTAAGACATTTGTTTTGGTGATGAGGAATTAGGAAACTCTTGGTTTTGGACATTTGTCTGTTTAAATAATTAATATTTTAAGAATAGTAAAAAGTTAACATGGTTTATATATTCTGTTTATATCCAATTAAACATATTGTTCTTATTTCTGTTAGAATTTACTGAAAGCATTTTATACTAAATCTATTTTTATTATTTGTAATCTTTGGTTGTAAAGTTAATATTATTTTACAAATTCTGAAGCAAAATACCCATTAAGCTAACATTTCTTATATAGGTACTTGTTCTGTTCATTGGCAAAGGGAAGAACAATTGATTTTTTTTGTTGATTTCTTTGCTAAATCTTATTATTACAGATTTGACAATATGCATTACGATATGAATCTATATAGATATGTATACAAACATATCTTTGGCAATTTTAATTTATATATGTGTGTTTCTTGCCTGTGGATAGGGTACTTTACTAGTCAGTCATAAAATATTACTGTTTTTTAACTACTATATTTTGTTTGCCTTTCCAAATTTTTTTTGCTTACTTTTTATTTTTAAAGATTTGTTTATTCATACAAGAGCTGGGGTGTAGGCCAGAAGTGCAGGGGGGTCATGAGAGAATTCACCAGAGACAGAGTGGGGAGCAGAACAGGCAGATCAACTGAAACACACTGCTGAGGGGAGCAGCAGTCAAAACAGGAGAGGTCTGCTGCACCATGTGGGTTTGCTCCCTAGCCTGGGATCGAACTCTACTGCAGTAGTTGCGGATAGCTTCATAGTGTGAGATTTAACCCCTTGCAACACCAGGGAAGCCCCCTAGAATTTGCTTTTTATTCCCAATCTTAATTTCTACATATATAATAATATATTTCAATATTATTAATATATTAATAATCCACTGGGAGGCTCTTCTAATAAATGTACACAAAACATGAGACAGCACTTCTTTGCAGTATGTTTCACATGTTCTACCCTAACACCATTCAAGTGAGGAAATAATGCTTTCAAACCCCAATCATCTTAGTGAAGCACATGGATGAAATTTGTGAGCTAGCTTAGTATTGCCGGATTTTTTTGTGTCATGTTGTGTCAGTTGCTTTCATAATCAATAAAGTTTTAAAATTTAAAAAGAAACTCTAAAGAGGCATCTTGATACCTCACTTGTCATATTTATATTTTGAGCCTCAATAAGTTGATTACCTCCTCTCTTTTACACTAAATAAATATGTATAAGTGAAGTTTTTCTGTGTGTCATTTGGAAAACTCAGAAATCATGTGTGAGATTCCTGGAAAACTTGTTCACTGACTGTAAAGTTACAGACAATTTATATCAAAAGATTTTTTTTCCTATAAATTTCTATAATAAACATTAATGTTTATTTTGTGTAGTCTTTCTTAAATTTATGGAGGGGTTGTAAATGTTACAGATGCAATAGTTAGTTAGAGATGCAATAGGTATGTTAAAATGTATGTATTTATAAGTATATCTGGACCACAGGTCACTTCATCTTCCTACCCAAAAAGTAAATTTTATTTGTAAAAGTACTCTGCTCTGTCTTACAGCCTTGGTAGCCGTATTTTCTAATCTGTATTCTTTTAATGACAAAGTTAATTATGTAAGCATTATGTAGGAATATATGGAATTAAATGGTTCTTAAATTCCATTGTTGTGGCTGAAGGTAATAATTCTAATTTTTAATGAATTTTCTTATTAAGGGTTTGGCAATTCTAAGTTTCCTCATAAATCTTAAAATACATAAGCAGAAGGAAAATTCTCTAATTTATTTGAATGTCCCTATTATTATTTTTGGAACTTAATTATAAATTCCTGAAGGATATGAGTGAGATCACATTCATTTTTGCATCTAGATACCTAGAACATAGTCTGACTTATAGTTGGTAGTCATTAAAGGAATTCTTTGGCTTCTACCTAGAGCTAAGTTGAATTGCTTATAAAATATCAACTTGCTATCACCTCATATATGGCATGGAAGTTTGGTTGAAACAAGTGATATGAAATATTTGCAGCTTTTGTAGAAATAACCACTGGTATTTAATCAATCAGCAAACATGTTGGGAGACCAGAATCAAGCACTGAGACAATAAAAATAAAACTTAAGAAAATTATTTAAATTTATTTCAGTACTTCTTTTGTAAATAAATAGCAAATTAACAATTTAATTTTGCCAATGTTGAAATGCAATAACATATACCTACAGAAGATTTTCTAAAAAAGTATCTTGTACATTTTATACTTGAAATATTACTTTTAACAAACACACATGACAATGTAAAACTTTAAGTGTGAACTAAAGACTGAGAAAATAGTGCTTTACCAACTGCCAGTTTCGTTTTCCAAAATTATAAGAAACATAGCTTTGAAGTAGAACAATTAAAATGATTCCTTATCACATATAAAATATGTATGTATATGTGAGTTGGTATGTATAAATGTATATGTATATGTATGTATGTATGCATGTATGTATGTATTTTACCAATGTCTAGTGAATTTCTCTCCTCTGGGGAAGAATGAATTTTTTTTTCTTTCAGCTGTAGAATTTATTCCAGTAGAAAATACCATTGTTATATTATCTTGTGGTAATTTCAGATAAGTAAATTAGATTCTATAAAAATGAATAGAACCTTAATGTAAAAACTCATATAGGCAGCCTGCTGTTCGTGTATTGTAACAAACCAACAACTTAAAAATATATTGTGTGCCATGCTGTCAGGCTTGGTAACATATTTTGTTCTATTGCAATTATAAATTATATTTGTGACCAGTTAATGGGATAATTTAAATTCCCTAAAGAGGTATTTGTCTCTAAAATAGCTGCCAATGCAGGGAAAATTAGAATGGCTCTCCATTTGCTTGAATATTTGAAGGAATGGACATGCTTTGAAGTTATAAGTGATGTTTAGCTATTTACAATGATTTTGAGAGTTTTCAAAATCAGGTTACACTGGAATCTCATTTACAACAACTTATATTCTTACAAGACTTGATGAAAATTTTCCTGAGTATTTCTGTATATTGTGTCATACTGTCTTGTAGACATTTTGGTAAATTATATGGTTTCTCTGTGTTTACTCTATCTTATTCATACTAGCTCCAGTGGCTGTTGGACAATTACGAGACAGCAGAAGGAGTGAGCCTTCCCAGAAGTACTCTATACAACCACTACCTACGACACTGTCAGGAACACAAACTGGACCCAGTCAATGCTGCTTCTTTTGGAAAACTAATAAGGTCAATTTTTATGGGGCTACGAACCAGGAGATTGGGAACTAGGTTAGTACCGACAAATAAGATCATAAACTAATCCCTCTTTTTCACTAGAGAGCAGTTCAGTATATTGTTTAAGAAAAAGTATGTGATTACAGATAACATATAAAGAAAAAATAATTAGCTTATTTTTTTTAAATCTCTCAGGAAAAGAAGTTATTCATTGAATACCACCAAACTTGAATTATGCATTAACCTTAACATCAACTGTTTAATAACAGCAGAGGTTTGAGAAGAGCTGATCTCAAATTACATAGAAATTAGCACATCAAGATTTACATATGAAGCTTCAAAATGTACTACATATTACTATATTTTCCTTTTGAAAATAATCACTTTATAGATGATAAGTAAGTGACATAGTTAATGGAAAACCATATATCTCTTGACTCTTGCAAAATTGCATTGAAATGTCTTTATAAATAGCTTCTATTTTACTACAGTAAGAAATTACAGCTGAGGTTTACATTTCATTACTGGAGACCAATTCAAACTCATTTGGCATACTTAAAAAATAAAGGCTTTTAAGTTCCTAAGAAATGTCATGGTCATGTTTAATCTCTTATAAGCCTCTTTAAACTCTTGATTAGGAAAGCATACATGTAAGTAAAAATACAGTATAGTTCCATTGCATGGAAACCAATACTATGAAGAAGACTCTTAGTTTCTTTGTTTACTTCCTTTGGAAATAGATATAAATGTTTTTGTTAATCAAGTTATGATGATAGACCAAAGAGACCTGCGGAGATTCATTTTTGCCTTTCTATAATTTTTATAAATTGTAACAAATATTTTAAATACCTAGGCAGAAGGAGATAGATGTTTTTTATTTCCTCAATCTATATTTATAAAGTAATCCAGGGCCTCACTGATGGCCTACCGGTTAATTCTCAGCTCTACCATAGTGTTGACCTCTGGCCCTCTACGCTGAAGCAGCCTGAGTTCGCTCCCTGGCTAGGGAGCTAACCCACATGGCATCGCAAATCTCTGCTGTCTCCTCTGCTGCTTCCCTTAGCAGTGTATTCAGTAAATCTGCTTGTTCTGCTCCCTACTGTTTCTGGTGAATCCTCTCACCTCTGCACCTCTGGCCTACACCTCAGTTCTTCTATGCAAAAATAAATAAATAAATAAACAAACAAATAAATAAATAAAAATCTTACAATAAAGGAATAATTCTTTTTTAAAAAATGCAATCCATATTAGAAGTAGAAAAATAAAGGGGCTACAATATATACCATTAGATGGTTGCCCTGTAGTTAGTGTAAGTCATAGTTTCATAGTATTTAGTAAAGAAGTTTAATATTCTTAAGAAAATAGAGCGCCTTAGTAATTGACTTTACTACAGAAAAGTAGTAAGAGATTTATGAGATTTACATGTATTCAAATGTGAATTATTCCTTTGTTTCATTTTAAATGATTATACAACTTTCAGATTGTTAGAGGTTCAGTTCTCATAAATGTGTTTTCTTCTACCTAGATTTCAAAAATACTATATTTTAAACTGGAGAATATGATTGTCTATTCATACTGAAAGAACTAGCTTTCAATCACTACAAAAAATGCTTTTTGTTTCTCCAGTTTTTTTTTTTCCCCAAGAGCCATAAAAATCGTTATTTGGGGACCTAACCTACTATCTCCTAGCTGATGGCTCAGTAGTTATGCATACCTTGCCAATATTTTGAAACTCTGGGCTTTATTCAACATTCTAATAGCGGTATTGTTGTGCTGCTTTTGTTACTGAAAGAGATTTCAATGGATCTTATTTTGAGACTCCATTCAAATCTTGAATCACATCTTTAAAATAAAAAGGGACAAAATTGGGGTTGTTCTGGTATGTGAATGAGCAAAATCCATACTCTGTATAAGTACATATTGGCAGTTTTGCAGCTTTTACTTTGTGATGTTCATTTTACCCCCTCTCACTATGTAACAATAATGTCTCCTGTTTCTTTTAAAATTGGATGTAGTATTTGCAATTAGGACTGGAAAACAGTGCCTAGAAGAATAAGTAGAAATCCTCTGGGGAAAGTTTAAACAAACGCTGTGTTAAGAAGACAGCAAAACTCTAATGTAGAAAAACTGATAATGGTAGAGGTGAGATACCAGAAAATTTTTCTACCATGGAAACTGTTTGCATCACTTTCTGTTCATCACTCAGGGAACAGAAAGAAAATGAATATAGATCATGAGGTAAAATAACTCAGATCCTCTTTTTTTTTTTTTAACTAAACTGCATCCTTTATTTATTCATCAATAAAATTATATAGTGAATTCATTCAAATCAAAACCAAACTTCTTTTAAAGTTTTGGAAGTAAGTCAAAAATAAAATCACCATGTTATTTTTAAAAAGGCAAATCCAAATTAAGTTTTAAAAAAAGGAAATCAGTGAACATGCTGACCCTCTCTCATCATCTCCAGTGGAATAGTGAAAACACCTACCCACCACCCAGCCAGAATTCTGATTTGTAGCCAACTGAAAAGAAACTAGACACTTCCATCTATTTTGGGATTTCACAAGAGACACACCATTTTACTTTATAGCATATTTGTCATTGTCTGTGTCAACTGGATGTCACCAACGTCCCATCCTACCTTTATTCCCTACCATTCTCCAGTTTGTACCAAACAACACTACTAGTTGTGGTATTAAAGGATTTTGCTTTTTTCTCATTCTGCATGGGATTTTGGACTCAAGAACAAATCTCTGCAAGTGGCAGGACTTTCTCTTTATGCATTAAGATTTTATACTGGTTTATTTTGCTGAAACTGTGTAGGTACTCATGTACCTTCCATTTAAAAAAAAAACTAATATTATCCAAATAATATGATTTTAATGTCTTTAAATATGCAGCATTCATCTACTGTATATAATCATGGAAGTAAAATGTTGTTCTATTTTTATATAAAATATTTAATCCACATTCTCTTGCATTTCTTTTTATAAACTAAAGAAAAGAAAATTGGAACGAGCACTAATGTCTTGCTATATATAGACTTGTGAAAAACTACTATTTTCTCTTTGCAAAAATTTACATATTTAATATTACTTTTGCAAGAATTTAAAAATTTCATTCAGAGTAAATCTTTGTGATTTCTAATAACAAACACGATCTTTCTCATGAAGATGGGGAAATTGTGACTCTCATTCCAGGCAGAAATTGCTGTTTTTAACAGAGAAATATCCCCTTATTTGTTGTGACACTTCTTATTCAACCTCCGAACCTGATAGGAATCCATAAAAACAGAGACTAGTAAGACATGTTTAAGAATCAATAAATTAAATGCTTCTTTCTAGGTTTCAATATATCAAATAATGAGTTTCATCATATATTGTGTCAAGAGAGTTATTTTATTTCATCATTCCTGCAGAAATAGATCTAGAAAAATGTAGAATTTAAACAAGACAGTAGAATTAAGAATTTTTTTTTTTAGTAAGAACACTTTATAATATATTTGTAATCATGGTGCAGACATTTAACCTGTTAATGAACTTTTATGGGCCCCAAATTTTCCCCAGTTACTCCTTTAGAATTATATTTTAAAATACAAATTTGAAAATAAACTGTAACTGAATAGAATGACTATTTGACTAATATAGAAGTGAAAATTTATAAGGAAAGATTGTTTTTTAGGGCACCTAGGTGAAGGGTGTGGAGTGGTTACATACATCTGAAGAGGTATGAACTTATACCTCAGAAACCTGTGCTATGTTGTAAACCAGTGCTGCCTCAATAAAAATATAATGAAATAAAAATATATATATATAAGCATTTAGAACAGGTTAATCATAAGTATGTAAGATTAACATGCTATATTTACCTAATTTTTCCAAATATTAAGTTAAATGGGCAACCTATGCAATTAATATTGGTTTGACTGACTTTTTGTGTCTCTAATGTCTGTTCTTTTATGAAGAGGAAACTCCAAGTACCATTACTATGGGATTCGTGTCAAGCCAGATTCCCCTCTTAATCGTCTACAAGAAGACATGCAGTATATGGCTATGAGACAACAACCCATGCAACAGAAACAAAGGTAGACTGGAGTTATCATTGACATGGCAAAGTTATATGTTTCTTCAGATGGTCTGTCTCCTTTTTTCTGAGCAAACAGAACAAATATATAAGTATACCAAAATGTCACTATTATTGGCATGCTTTCACTACAGACAGACTTATTCTTTTTCCCGGTCTTTAAAAATTACTTGTCAATCAACCTGCTGATTCTTTTTTCAGATTAGAACACTAAGAACAAAGCATAAGGGGCATACCCAAGCAAATACCAACAGTAGAAACCTATTTCAGTATTCATGAGTTTCTTACTTGCTATTCTGCATACCCTTTAAGCCATTCTTTTTGATGCACTATGAATTCTTACTGAATGTTTGGGACATCCGACATTTTTTTAAACACAATTTTCATAGACAGAATTGTAGATATTAGAGCTCTAAGCGATCTCAAGGATTCATGAATGAACGGATGGTTGGATGGATGGATGGTTGAATGGTGGATGGATGGATGAATAGACTCATAGATCTTTAAATTGAAAAATATCTCATTCTTGTCTGGCCCCAGAGCCTTATGACAATCAAAACATTAACAGCTCTGTTTTATCAATGAGTCCCAGAGAAGTTAAATGATTGGCACAAGCCCATGGTGCTAATAATCCAGGGCCTACTAGTCCTATGTTAAATATGTCACAGTTTAGAGTGAATAAAATGAAAAATCCCTCTCTTCATTAATGTGACTCAACTGCTATAGTAGTTATAATTTTTCTTTCCATTTGCCCATACAGATTAGGTGGGTGAAAGGAGGTGTATATATAGGTAGTCAGATCATTTGGATTTAGCCTTATTCATTGATCTGACTTGATTAGTCACCTTGGCCACATCTTCCACATCCATACTAGCTTGGTCAGAAGCATTAGCTCTATGTCACTGCTGAATAGCTTCTTAGCTTATTGGCTAAAATAAAGCATCTTAAGTCATTGTTGTAAAAAGAATGTATAACACAGTATTTCTTTACTTAGTCCACAAACACTGATTGAGTCTTTGCTACGTGCTAGTTGTTGCATGCAAAGATAAATGCAATTCCTATCTTTGAGGAGTTAAAAAATCAAAAGGGGGGCAGATGGGAATTAATTTTTTTAATTAAAACAATTTAAGAAATGCTAAAATAAAACTTTGATCAAGGAACTTTTAGAATACAGGGAAATTTTTAACAAACTCTGGTAGCTGGAGAATTGAGAAGATTTGTAGAGACTGTGCTATTTAATTAAGAATTTAGAGGGTCAGAAAGGGAGAGGGACATTCAGACTGAGAGAATAATGTAATCCAAAGCACCTTGGTATAATGTCCATATTGTCTTTGGTAAATTGCTCAAGAGTTGGTGAGGTTGTTATTTCAGGAGGTGAACTGAGAAGAGGGTTAGGGAGTTAAGTGGGAGATAAGATTTAGAAAGTAATTTAGATAATAGATTAAAGGGTTTGGTTGTATATGAAGAACAAAATAGATTTGTTCCTTGTGTACAAAATAACTTTGAAGCTGTGTAAGACTCTGAAGCAAAACAATGAAACTTTAAATTTTTTGAAGTGTCTTTGATTTTAGATAGAACATATTTAATCGAAAGAGATAGGATGTAAAGATGCATGTTATGTGACTTTAACACAGTCATAATTTTTAGTACAAGTATTCTATACTGCAAAATCAGTTCAAAATTAGTTATTATATAAAGATAATATTTTTAATTCACAGATAATTTTATTTTTAAGTTGCTGATCCCTATTTTTTGATGTATAGTCAATGAAGTATATTAAGAAAAATAGAAAAGTCATAGAACACTACCTTATATAGTCATAGTGTTGGTGTGAATATAATAAAGTTTCTTGTTTATGATTATATTGCCCACCTGTTAGTGGCAAAACTTCACAACTTTCAATTTCTGATTAATCTCTGCAATCATGCATAGCTGCACTCCACAGTAGCAATGATGGTGAGATCAAGGGAAAGAAAGTTTTATTGACAAGTAACATATGCTCAAAATTAAATATAGCAAAACTTTGATAAATTGCACCTGAGACAATTGAAGCCTACTTCTTGTGATTTAGTTGCAAATAATCCTAGCAAGTTTTCAGATTGTATGCCTTTAAAGGACATTCTTTATCAAAAACAAGACCTAGGACTTTCAAGGGTCTCCTTATGAAACAGATTCCAGAGCTATAAAGATTAATGAGCCGTGAAACCCCCTGCAATCTCAGTACAATAGTGAGTGCTTTTAGAATTAGCTGTAATGTGTGTGTATTTAAGAAGTAATATAAAATTCTTAGCAATATTAATAAACTGCTGACTTTAGTTTCTTATAGTGTTTGCTTTCTTATAAAATAAGAATATTAGAACCAAAGAAGTATCTTAAAGTTTTGCATCATTAGCAGTTGTTCTTGGAATGTTGTCTTACTCACTGATTGCAGTGTTAGTGTCATTAACTTCACAGACCCATCAGTGGGATTAGCAGGACAGAAGGAGGTTTCTGTTGTCTCTTTGAAGGATTCTATCAATTGACAACACTGATATGCCTAGCTGAAGCCAGTTAACCCTTTGTCTAAGAGAATTTCTCTCCGTTTTTTTTTCTTTTCTTTTCTTTTTTTTTTTTTTTTTTTTTTGTGGGACCCTCATCGGTGGCCAGGGATCGAACTGGCGCTACAGAGGCTGCAGGCAACCTCACAACCCAGTGCTCAACCGCTGCGCCACCAGGGGAGGCCCTGTTTTTTTTTTTTTTTCTTTTTAAGCAATGAAGAAAAGAACTTGTTCTATCATTTTTTTCATGATTTATAAAATAAGATAATTCCAGACTCAAATGATTCTACAGAATATATTAAATCCACATAAAAGAGTCTGCCATTCACTTTTAAAATACAATTGATATGTGAAAGGTTTAAAATATTTTATAGTAGGTACCAGAATATTCATATTGTTTGACTGTATCAGGATTTATTGTTTGCATCTATGTGTGCACATCTTCCATAATGTAAGTATACATGTTTTTCCACATGTTCTTATAATAAGAAAGTTCAGGTATATGCAGTGATTATTTCACCAAACAAAAGTGAAGTTTTGGAACTTAATTTGTAAATTTTTCTGGAAAGTTTAGAAATATGATAGTTGTTGGCAGTAGTAATGATTATGATTATTGTTTGTATAGCTTTTAATTTTTGGAGCTCTTTTACATATGGTATCCCAATTGAGGATTTGATAGGGTAGTAGAGGAAATTTCCACTTAATCTACAAACCAGATTCCCAAGAACACCACCATTTGAAAGCTAGCCATAAGTCAGGCAATAAATGGAAACAGCTTCTGATTGAAAAACAAGTGTCACTGAGGCCCAAGTTGGCTCATTGAAAAGACAAAGCCATCTTCAATCCATTTACCTGAAATAAAGGAGCAGATTAGAGCCACTTGATTCACAGGGATCATGAAATACAACCACTAAGCCAAGGAAGAATGAGTAAACAGGGTTCTTCTATTTCCTTTCGGTTTATCCAACACAGCATTCTGGGCACATTCATTGTTAGGGGCAAATAGACCTAGGTACTTCAGTGGAACATTTAAGTATTACTCTATTGTTTAGAATCTAACACAGTGTAATAACTTTTTTGCTTATTGATGATAATATGTATAATAGAAAAGAGTTAAAGTACTAAGAAAGTAGGAGAATGTTGTAATAGTTGTCTTTTAAATACCTTCTGTTGAAAAAAATAATTTTTGCATTAAAAGTAATCTTCAATTTTTAAGTAAATTCACTCAAGGACTAATTTGCTTACCCTAATTTAGATAATAAAAAAAAATAGGTCATTATTGAGCGAATAGGCAATTCAGTAATTTTCAGCTGTACAAACTAAGTAAAAATCTTTGCTGTCATTTATTTCACTATTTAAAAGAAATAGAGTATTGGCACATATATTTTAATTAATCTCCTAAATCCTGATAGTAGAAGGGGTGGAATAGAACAAAGCACCTTTGACAGTGCACTCGGCTGTGTTTGATCCCATTGGTCATTCTCAAAATACTAAACTGCTTTTATCATTTCCTCTACAAATGCTTAACAATTAACAATTAAACACAGACTATGATTATATTCTTCACATTTAAAAGAGATATCACCAAATCATAGCATATTAGAGCTGTAAAAAAGAGATCAACTTTTCTTTTTATAAAAATAGTCCGTGAAGGGTAGATATTTACCCATGATCATGTAACAACAAGAATTAGAACCTAGTTCCCTTGTCTTTATTATAAGAATTTCAATCTCAAGAAAGTAAAATGACCACAATAGAAATATACCTATGTAAATTTTTTATAAGAAATAAAGGGGGGCCTCCGCTGGTGGCGCAGCAGTTGAGCGCTGGGCTGTGAAGCTGCCCACAGCCTCTGCAGCGCTGGTTCAATCCCCGGCCACCAGTGAGGGTCCCAAATGGCGCGCAGACCTCTCCTGCCGCCTGCTGCTCCCCTCAGCAGTGTATTTCGCCAGTCTGCCTGTTCTGCTCCCCGCTCTGGCTCTGGTGAATTCTCTCACCCTCCTGCGCTTCTGACTGTACCCAGTGCTTGCATAAATAAATAAATAAATAAATAAATCTTTAAATAAAAAAAGAAAGGGAAAAATTCCACTTTTGTGACTGTGTCCCAAAAAAGTGAGGAAATATGCCATTGCCTGCCTTTTTGAATCATCTCTTAACAGGAACTGGATTCTATGAAAGAATATAGCCCTAATGGAAGACAAATAGAGGCCAATTGCAAAGATGATACCACCAGGCAATTTTGCTTTCATTGTAGACAGTTGTGAAAGTTTACATGTTCCTAAGGAGTGAGAGAAGATAAGAACCTTTGTCATTAGAAGACCTTAATGTAGATTTCATAGACTAGTGGAAAAACCATAAATTTAAAATTGGGAAATATGAATTTGAGACACTTTGACACTTACGCAGAATATGTGATGAACTGCGCTGAATCCCATTTTCTTCATTTGCAAATAGGCTACCTCAA